CCCCTCCCCCCAAATCATCGGTGAACGAAACTGCGGCAGCTACAACCACTGTACGACGAGTACGCGGTTATTACAGCTGACAATGACGATGATTCCTCAGTTCGTCTTCAGCAAACGTCTGGAGGACGATCAGTTCGTTACGACCTCCCTTCACATTTATTTCCAATTATCGAAGTGCAAAGGATTTTAACTTGATGTGAAGCACGTTCTCCAGACGTGGGAGGTAAACCCATGAGCGCGTTCCTCAACTCGTTTTGATAAATATACAGTATCCCATCTGACTAAGGAATTCTTTTTTGATACGACGAGGTAGCACTGTTGCCGATCAAGAGTGCTAGAGTGTATGTCCGTCTGAAATACGATTATCTTGCTACTGCAACCGAGACGAGGTTTACAAGGTCGTAATAGATAGGAAGTACGGTGTTTCTGAGTTTGCATTGCCTTAAAAGTCTTATAATGGTAGTTACACGGTCTTGGATCGTCCGCTCTTTCTGCTTCCCATGTAGCCTCCTGGTTCGCATGTGGTGGCAGTAATATACCCAAGAAATCGTTCAGCTATAGCACCCTTTTGGTGCCTTAATGTGATGCCACCCGAAGGAAGCACGAGGGCTGAGATACTGTCAAGTTGTCCAAGTCTAGACAGAGGAAGTCGAGATGCAGAGGCCAGATTCGAACCAACGACATCCTCGTAGGTCGATTCGCGCTCTAATCACTGAGCCATCTCGCAACACAATCAGATAGATCGATGTCCATCTTCTCGAACGTCTGAATACATCCTGAAATGGCTTTTGCAGCCGATGTCACAAACAAACTGAAACCCGAAGTCACTGATCAGGAGACATCTTCATACCGGCCACCGCATTGATCTCCCACATTACTTCCAAGTCTTACTGCGAAATATGAACTCCAAGTTGCTGGCAATCTTCTAGGCCAAATCAATTAACACCTACTAACCAGTAAAAACGGTCGAAATATTCAAGGTAACAGAGTTGGTTGACAGGGTTTTAGCACAATACATTAACAGGATGGACAGCACTCACCTTGCGTGTTAGGATGCGTTTTTTCTCCTCTTTGGCCTTTAATCGAGCCTCTTCACTTTCAACTGTATGATGAATGGATCACAAAAGGCCAATGCAAAATAACCACACCAATAAAAAACAAGGATTAACAAAGAGGACTAATCTCAGACCTTTCTTAAACTGGTAAAATTATTTGGCAGTATAAAAGGAAAACCATTCATGGTCAACTAAACTGTTCTCCAGTTCCCCGATTTCAAGCTGTCGTGAATCGTTTCATTCAGCGATGTTCAAATCAAATGTAGAACAAGTGACTCGAGGAGAAAAGGGAGCATTTTCTTCTGACGCTAGTTGCTCTCCACAAAAAAGAACTAACAGTCGAATGCACGTGGACTGCGCTTTCTCATATGTGGTAGCTGATTATGCGGTGCAGTGACGTCTAGAGAGCATGCATGTGTTGTGTATACAACATCAGCGTCACTTGACAAGTTAAACGCAGGCAGTATATACACTCTGGAAAAGAGACCGCGGCTAAGATCCACAGAAAATTTGGACCTGTCGCCAGGCTGATTTCTGGTGTTCAAAATCAGCGTCACGTTGGAACGGGAGATCCTCACTTGGAGATTAGAACAAAGCAGATAAAGTAATCTGGACGTGCCCAGTGCAATTTTGGGCCACGTTCAAAGTAAGGCGTATTAATAACAGGAAGTGAACCCACTCCAAAAGAAAAGTTTCTAGGATGTTTCAAGCGGAAATTCTGTTTCCAACAAGTGGTCTTTCGTGCGGTCCAAAAAAGGTAACAAGATAACATTGTTAAAGAACAATTGGTTGCATTTTTGATAGAGGCTACCTGCTTTTTAAATAGCACACAACAAATCCGTTCTCAAAATAAGCGTCAAAAACCGAAACGAAGGAGGTCCTATTTTGGTTCCGCTGGGCGCATCCTATTTATAATAGTACATTAGTATAGTTTCTAGTGGCCGGCTCCCGGCTGCATTCGGTCATTCAAGCAATCCCATTCGCCAAAAAATGCATACAAGTTGTCCACCATTTTTGTCCACAGAGGACTGGGTTGCAATAGTCTACATGGGTATGAATATTAAATTATTCTATTAGCTCAGTTAAGGCCTGCAGCGAGGATGTCACGCCAGACTACTTATCTCGTAATGCGTTTCAACTGATCGTTTCATTCCAGGTTACTGCTAGATTTCGCGTCGTGCTGCAAAGCTGAGTTTACCCTATGCCATATAGTAACGGTATATGATGTAAGGCCCAAGGACCAAGGATGAAAATCAAATACATTGATTCTATGGGCATGGGTATGAACCTTGCTTTGATATGTGGGTGCCTTGGATAACCGCATCGCTTAACTAAGTCAGTGAGGAATGACAATCTTGACTAAAGTTGGATTTTCAAGGCCTTTTTGCATCCAGACTGCCTGCCACGAGCAAACGTTCACTGAAAGGTGAACGGTCAACGAATTACACTGTATGACAGATACAAAGTTAGAACACCCAATGTTCGCCGGCTCATTTCGGCACAAAGGGTCGGGTAAAACGGCTGTCGCGTTCAATAAAGTAGGTGATTGGGCTTTAATTTACGTACGTAGCGGCGACCTTAAATGCCCAGGTGCGGTTAAGCGCTACGACGAGGAAAGAGCACACAAACTCGATTGCTCGACTAACTGAGGCATGCTATGGACATGCTTTGTTATGCTGCATGTCGCATAATTTAACAGTACAGGTCATGTGGTGCGACTAGATTGCAGAAAGGCCTCAGTGCCGTTGTGACATAAGTTGAACAACCAGACATATGCGTTCGGATCTGTAGGAATGTGCAACCTACCGGGTAAACCGAAAAGAATTTAGTCGCACCTTTATACATACTGTATTACAACGACGATCAAGCTGAGATCTTTTGACTGTGTTCACGGTACACCGACATGCCTAAGAAAGCGAAGTGAAGCGTGGCGACCAATAAATCGTTGAGTAGTTATAAACTGGCTTTCAACTCGATCAGCAATTTGAAAAACTACAATGGGAAAAGCATATGTCCAAAATACACTAAAAAGCAGTGTTTTGGTTCCAATCGGGACAAAAGTCATGCGATTTCGAAGAAAAAGTTGAATTTCACTGGATCTCGCATTGTGATTGGTCCATTTATTAGTGGTCAGTACGGACAGTTCAGTGCAACTATTATAAATTTTGATGATTATTTAGTAGTTCTGTTAGGTTTTGTTAGTATATATGAAGTAAACAACTGCATCGCTTATTCTGTTCCCATTTCACTATCTTACCAGAGAAAGGACAGCCCACAGAATTTAACTAAAACAAGCGCCACAGAAGAAATTCACTAACCGAAGGTAATTTGAACAAGATAGCGAAGTAAGCCTCGACTTGACTTCCATAGCAATAGAAGACGGGGCGGATAACTTCTACACAATCCAAGCCAACCTCTCTTCATATGCTTCCTCATTGTAGATGACCTGTGTGCATATTTTCGACGAACTGGAGTCTCTCACTCCTCGAAACTCAGTTAACTCTCATTAGGATGTTAGTCATTTTTACCTCGTATCCGGGACTTCTTGCTGGTATCCATCAAAACATTTCATACTACAACGGTCTTTTTAATCGTGTTCACCTGGACAAGCGACGAGTAAATTCTACCTTTCCGGTTGGTCGCTGGTGGAGATATGCTCTGTTTACTCGCAGTAGACGAGATATAGGTGGATCCAAACTGGAAAGTTTGGAGGACGCTGGACGCAACTGTTGCGGAATGTGGATTTTTTGAAAGCCAATCAGCTACAGTTCATTTCTCCAACATTTCGGCCACGACCTCATCAATTGGACTGGGATATGGAGTAATCCGGGCGAAAATACAAAGCAGAAAAAGTCGCTCAGCTGTAACATCCGGTGCTCAGCGACTATGCTACTCGGAGGAAACACGACGTCTGGCATACTGCCAGGTTAACCAAGCCTAGACAGGGGAAGTCGAGAGGCAGAGGTCGGATTCGAACCACGGAACTTCCGGTCAGTAAATTCGCACTCTAACCACTTGGACCATCTCTCCCCATTTTCCATTAAATCAAATTGGTTTCAAGAACACAGGAACAGTACCCAGTGTAGATGTTGGTCACACAGTTGCAAATACCCATTGCAAGGGTCCCTTGTGTCTTAGTTCCTGTTCGAACCACGGACCTTCCGGTCAGTAAATTCGCGCTCTAGCCACTTGAAACATCTCGCCTCTAACGCAAAGGAGTAGACGCTTTTCTATGGAGAAAGCGAATTCTCGAAGTGATATTGAATAAAAACCAAAGATACACTATCTTGATCCTCCTTCTCTATTAAATTCTATCAGAAATCCGCCAGTCACTAGAGAGTTAAATAGATTTTATACTGAATTCACAACCTGAGGATTGCCTTCTCAAGCATTTTTGCACTAGTTGGCATGAAAGAAATAAACGACGTTTTGTCACTGGTATATCAAAGGTCAGGTAACTGGGATTACGCAGATCCAACTGTGCCACTGTCCTACATTCCTACACCAACGGGCTCAGCATAAGTTCCTAACCCTCGATTAGAAAAGTGCTACGGTAATATTGAGCCATTCTAGTCCATGTAATCAGGTTTCGTCTACTTCCGGTGCCAAGAGATTGACCATCAGAACCGGAAAATTCTGCACATCCTTTCTTAAACCTGACAATTCCAGTTGTAAGCAATAGATCTGCTTTCACCTAGTTGACAATGTCACTAAGAAACGTCCAACGCGTCTAAGCGTCTAACGCTGTTAGACAGGTGCACAACAGAACCGATGTGGGTAGCCGTCTACTATATTCAGTTGTGAAATCGTACACACGTGTGACAGAAACATAGCGATGGCACAGTTGAAATATGGCCATTGTTTTGGGGGGAACGGACAAGCACTCGGTTGATAGCTTATCATTAGCGGACCAGTTATCTCGGTCCGATTATGTGCCTCACACACCCAACCTACAAGAATGTGTCCTGTTTGTGTAACCAGAATCAAGATTTAAGTAATGAGTGGAAGAAAACATGATGAAGCAACAAATCGATGCATCTATTTGAGGTTTTCAGTACTGCCGTCCATTCACGTCCGACAGGTGAAAAATGTTTTGGAACCCTTAGCCGCCTCCACAACAAACCAGCTGTGCTTTGGAAAGCTTGACAGACAGCTTGTGACAAAGTACAAGGCGATATAAGAGTGTCCCTTACACGTCCTTGTAGAGAGGGTCGTGTGAGACTACACGTAGTTATGAAAGAAAGAAGAGAAAGCGTTCAGCTGTAGCACCCTTTCGGTGCCTAGCTGCCATGCCACCCGAAGGGAGCACGAGGGCTGGGATACTGTCAGGTTGCCCAAGCCTAGACAGGGGAAGTCGAGTGGCGGAGGACGGATTCGAACCACGGACCTTCCGGTCAGTAAATTCGCGCTCTAACCACTTGGGCCATCTCGCCCAGGCCAATTCATAAGCACCTGTTCGGAAGTAGGGTTTGGTATAGGAGGACTACTGTATAGATATGTTCCGCTAATTAGGCTGACTAAACACAGCTTTAAGAAATGAGATTATGCGCTCTAACTTTGGTCGAATATAAACCAGTATATGCTCAAAAAAGTCAGCTATTTGTAAGCTGCACTAGCCCTAAGCTCACTACATCTTCCCGATGCAGTCTACCACAGCAATCGAGGCAGAGCGGGACTGCGAGAAGAAAAGTAATCTTGTGACAGTCTGAAAGTGCAGCAAGCTGACCTCTCAGGTTCAAGAGAAAAAGTTATTGTGGAAGCTTACGAAAACTATTTTTGTTTAGACTGTCTGCCCCTTGGAGAGTAACATGCGGATAACAATTTTATTGGCTGAAACGACAAACCGCGTTCAAGTTCCAGAAATGCGGCGAACGTCTGTCCACGACAAGAATAGGAATAAGAGTATGCAATGAAGCAGTTTGCCGATGATGACGGACTCAAGCCATTATCAGATATACGATAGACGAGAATACGGGTTTTGAAGGCGGAAGCGACCGGTGTTTGTTCAAGAGAGGCGTATCCGCACAAGTATTCACGCATTTATGGCGCTGATCAGTCATATGACTTATGGGTGCGTTGCATAAACCCACAGCGTCTTCGATTGAGTGGATACAAGCACACACATCGAATTCTGTCTGTTCGACTCGCCTTCCTCAGACCAATCTCCATGGGGATGACCAGTTGACATGAGAGAACAGCGTTTAACAAGTACCAGGTATAGGATATCAACAGGAGCATGATATTGTTACGTGCAAGTTGCTCGATTTAATGGCATCGATTCGCAGAAGTGTGGATGAGCTTGTGGTCACGTTTCTTGATGTGACCGTTCATCAATGATTCACAAGAGGCGACACACTAATCTTTGGTGACTCTCTGGGGGAAAGACTCAAACAAGCGTGTCCAAAACTTTCATAGGTGCGATATGCAGAATGTAAGTGCATCCTATTTATGATTTTCCCTATTACTGANGAATGCCGACAAAAGCCTGTTTTGTCCAATAACTATTCAAAACACAGGAATAAAAAGTGATCCTACGGAGGACCGTGATAGGCTGCCCAGTGATGAATTTGGGGACGGCGTAGTGTAAGTTCGATCGATTTAAACTATAGCCTCCAATCTAAGACATCTTAACTATGAGCGGAATGCACCCAAAAACACATACTTAGACTTTGAACACAACTCTAAAATATACTGACGGAGAGGGGGTCTGTGGGCAAGCAGACAAACAAGCAGGTCAACTCACAATGCAGAATGTTCTTCTGCTCCAGTTCACCGGCCGTGGGTCTCTGACTCAAACGCCGCTCCAAAGTGGCTTCAATCTCTATTCGCAACTCTGCGCGCTCCTCCGGTGTCCGAGAGGGTAGAATGTTCTTCTCAATCAGGGTCTCAACACCGGGACGGGTTTCCAGAAAACGGCTAATGCGATCGGCCCGTTTCACCCAGAGTTGGCGATATTCTTGGCGTTGTAACGCTAGCCCATCTGGTGTTGTGGCCGGAGTGCGCCGGTTGTGGATGTCTTCTTCCTCCTCTTCACTATCCACAGGTGCTTGGAATACGAATCGACAGTCCCGCCCAAAAGGGTATGTCGGTCTACCCGAAAATTGTGGCGTAGCTTGTGAGTCGCGTTCAATGAAATTACGTCTGACAATACCCCGGCCTTCCGACTTGGTCCCAAGTGGGGTCCTGAAATTCGGAACCGAATAAGTGCTCGAGGGGTGATCAACTGAGTAGGATCGGGGGTGTACTGATGTGGAATTTAGCGGAGACGAGCTTTCCAAAGAGAGCTGTTTAGTGATACGCGAGACTTGAGAAATGGGGCTTTGTGGCTTCACACCCACTTTAGTCGTGAAGCTTTGTTCTGATGACTCGCGCAGGATGCAAGATGGCTCTAGTTTGATGACCGATCTGAATAACTCTGTCTTAGCGCTTCCCCGTTCGTGCTTGACGGGATCCTGTACACGCTGTGAAAGTGGCGGTGAATTATCGACGATCTGCTTTGTACAAGAGAAAACTGACTCAAGATTATCATACGGCGCGAAGTCAATAGACCCGACCGAATCCGTGAAGAAACCGGAAGCCGACAAAACTGCGCCTGGGTTCGACGGGACCGTCGGAGATGAGTCGGATAGCAATGTACTCCCAGGTAGGGAAATCATACTGGGAGAAAGGTATTGACCTTTAGGAAGGCCGGAAATGTTCAATAGATCTGAACAACTTTCCCAGGTTGAATCCTTGTCCACTCTGAAATGTGAAGAATATAAATGAAATTGTGTCTGAAAGTGATTAGGAAGATTTGTGCGTCAACAACTGAAACTATGGTGGGCGAAATAGGCGGTTGATGTCAACTCACACTTCACTAAGGTCTGATCGATTAACCATATCATAATCTAGTTTTGGCACATATTCCATACCAAATGAGAGATTATGTAGCTTACTTCAAACTGTGTGGTGAATCTGTATTGATAGCCTCTGGCGCTTGATTTTCTATGACGTCATCCTGGCAGCTTAGAGTGTTGACGTCTGATAATACACTGGAACCATCCGGCTTATTCGAGATTCGAACCAAGTTTGTTTGGACAGGAGTTTGAGGGCCTTTTCGAAACCACAAAATGCCACGACTACGATTGGATTTTCCTTTCGGTTCAACTTTTTGTACATCCTTATCCGCCGAATTTGTCACCGGTTGAGATGAGGGAATGTTAGACACGAGGTGTGAAAATCTCGTTCGGATTGCACCATTTGCAGGCGTAGCATCAGTGCCCTCGTCAGGCTTTGAGTTGCATTCGTTTGGAGTCGAGGGCGGACGACGCGGAGGAGTAGCCAGACGCACCCAAGGATGCGCGGCATCGTGCAAGGATTCCTCGGTTTCTTCACAACTATCCGGTACATGTAACGCCATGTATGGACCGGATGAAGTTCTGTTCAGTTCACCTTGAAAATAAGGATGTGAACAAGTGTTAACACCCGGATTTTACGTGCTTCTAATAAACTCGAACCTGTGCCGAGTCGTTGGATTCCTTTAGCTATCCAGAATCCAGATAACGTAATCTTTTTGTCCACGTGAACCCTGATTAAGCACTACCTGATAATGTAAACTCATTACATCCGGCAACCGCATTAAAATGGACTGAATTAATGGAACAGTCACTATGAGTACTATATCCAATAAGAAATCAAGTGACGGCTGCAAACGGATGAATGCCCGGTAGAACCACCCGAAGCTTGTCTTGCTATTGTTACCAAACTTACTACAGGAACTCCTTTTGTCGCTCCTCCTCAAGCACTCATCCTAATCCTCTCACAACATGCATCTGGATAGAGCGAAACGTTCGAAGAGGAATCGGTCCCTCATTCTACCAATAGCGCCCAAACAGACTGTTGCCTTCTAACCAAAAGGATGTTCTGTTGAGACCAGTTAGCATGAATCTGATGCAATAGTTGTGCTCAAATTTGTTAGCTCATCGTCCCATCTAGCTCGATGTCATCGCACTACGTGGACAACAAAATATAACACACGGTCTAATGTAATGAAGCGAAATGTGGTACATCAATATCCCCTCTGCGAACAGAAACCGCACTGAGGAGAATCGAGTCTTCTCGATAGTATGCAACAGCATTCTCGATCAGGCACGATTTTGCGTACAATCCATCCGAAAGGTAAGCACTCAAAGGAAGGGCTGAATATTCAGTAGTGGTTTGTATAATAATAAATAATCGGTGCCTAACTGTCATGCCACCCGAAGGTAGCACGAGGGCTGAGATACTGCCAATTGCCCAAGCCTGGACAGGAGAAGTCGAGAGGCAGAGGTCGGGTTCGAACCACGGACCTTTCGGTCAGTAAACGCGCGCTCCAAACACTTGGATCATCTCGCCCCCAGTGGTTTGTATGGAGACAGAGAGTATGACATTCAGGATTGGTAAATGGGCAAAACCCCAGGAAGGGAAAATTACCGGACATTTGAGAAAGTTTGAACAAATCAACAACCGATGTATCGGAGAAGTTAAATTTGACCAGATACGTTGATTACCAGTTTAAACCCCGTAAACCTCACAGTTTCCGCAGAAGACGTTCCGCACTGCGGTAGTCAAACGAATCGAAGGCACCTGCTCATCATGGTACAGACAAATATGACCATGAAGTAAAGTGGACATGATGAGTGTATATACATTAGGATAACTATCCAGGAACGAAGAATGGCCTTAACGTTATATCGAAACATGGTGATCAGGACCAAGAAGGAGCTAGCTATCAACCAAGCTTTACCAAAGCGCGATTCCTGCACGAATGGGTTAGTTTACCATACAAATCGCTTTCTGAACCTATGCATGGGATACCATGTTGCATCTGATCCAGGTCAGTATTGCAAATTCCTTGGTTGAATGCAAACTCTTTGCGAAAAGCAGACCGTAAATTAAGCGAATTGGGAGTATACTGAATCACGTGACGCGTGGCAGTATGCGGGAAAAGAATTAATGCGCAATTAGACTAAGGGGTACATGACTTATGAGAAGCGCAAAAACCATATCGACGAGGGTTCTGACTCCAGGCTAATAGGATATCGTGTCCTTTTGTGACAAATGTGGATCCTTGAAGGCAACAATTCAGAAAAAGTGCTGTGAGAGGAAGCAATACATGAAATCATTTTCTAAGAGACGAGTACAATTATTCCACTGTCGTTTCTAAGTAAAAAAAGACAGACACAACTGGAGATGAAGGCAGATGGAAAAATTGCGGTCCAAGGAGGCGGTTAGGGTATTCTACACGTGATTCAACGCAGGAGCTATAAATTGCAAAGATAGACAATAAGAAATGGAATTATCAACTGATACTGAGGGGATAAAATCGAGGTAAAACATGACTGACCTTTGAGTGGTCGCGTAAATTTTGTGCGCGAATTCATGTAAGCCATTCAGCACAAGTGCGAAACCACGACTTAGACAATGTGGATGGGGAAAATAACTCCAAACAGAGAAGGGTAGTCAGTACTGTAGACGATAGAGTGAGGGTTTGAGAGTAATCTCTACACAAGACAAATCCAGTGATGAAAAATGGAGAGCGAAATACATTCAGCAGCAGTTTTCGTAAGCGTGTGTGTACTGATTCGAAGTTGTGTCTACACGACCGGCCGTTGACGTTCAACACAAATGAGATAGAACGCGCCGAGTAGATACATATAGCTGGAAACCAGGCTATATCAAACATTTGCATTGCAAATCAGACGGCTGCACGCAGCAGTAAGATGTACCTAGGCTCGGTCGTTTATTGGACGCAATCCAATCTCGGTGAGCGGATGAGCTGGAGTGAAGAGCGTCTCTACATCTTACGCACGCTAGCCAAATCAGTGTGCAGAGACGACCAAATTTCATCAGGGATGTTACCGTGGAGAAAGGTTGCTTTAAAAAAGATTTTTCACACAATTTCTATAAGCACTTTCAAGTATTCGACAAGTACATTCATTTGCATACTAATTCGGTTTTCACGGGAGACTCAACTGATTCTCTCGTTTGCGATATTCATCAACTAAACATGCTGCACAAAGACTGCCTCGTATTTCAGTTGGTACGATATTCGAGATACCGCGGTATATTTTCATGGGTGAAAATACTCAAGAGGTTGCTTAAAACCATTCAACAGATCACAACCAGTTTCGCCCTCCTTGAATCTCATCAGGTGAGCGTAGCCGCTGCGTTGAAGAATATTACAAACAAGGGATTACGCTGGGATTTAGGTTGGTCTTCTATGAAGACCGAATTGGTGCGTAAATAAGTGTATACGTCGAAGTTTGCACAATTTGGGTTCAACCAGAATGTACGGTTGATCGAAACTCGGGGACCGCGTCTACCTGATGAGTCCCAGGAAGGGCGAAACTGGACGTGGGCTGTCGAAGAGATTTCAGCTACCTTGTCGGCTATTCCCTTCATCATAAAGCATTTCGGTTGGTTAAAAGTAGACGAGTCTAAGGCAGCTAAATGACTCAAAAACATATTTAGCACACTACCGGCTGCGAACTTCTTTTAGAAAACAATTTTAACAGTAGTGAAGCGGACAACGACATGCTTCTTCCGTTGAATATCGGCTGAAACCCACATCAGAAGGCCCAGCAAGTACCATTGTCTGTCAGACTACATCAAAATTTTCGTTATTCACTGAGTCCGCCTCAACTTACCAGGACTGTGACCCGTAAAACAGAACTCAGTAATCGAACGGAGCTTGAGGCATCGTATATGTAGGCTTTCACTGAAATAGCTTGCTCCAGTGTTTCAAAACACAGCTTGTTTTCAAGAAATGCGGGAAAGGTACCGGATGTGCACGGAACAAATAGCGGGGTAGGCACAAACGAACGCAAATTTGCATTTAACTGCGCTCATTAGCGTTCGCAGATTGGCTATATATCAACGGAAATGCGAAATCACATGTGTATCCAGCATCTTGTGAATTCCCAGAAAAAGGATTGACTTTTTCTGCGCTGCATCCAGAATCTGCGTGCCACCTTGCGCATCGAGAATGCTTATTCTCGTCAGTTAATTTTACGCTACACAGGAGTATCAGAGTCCCATAGAGCTTGCAGCCCGATAAAAGATGGTAGTAAAAGCAAGAGCGCAGAGCAGCAGTGTTGTAAGTGGGCAGCAACGAGCACTATGTTCAATAAAATGTCTTGAAAGGCAGGTGAAGAGGATATCACCAGCCAATTCTACAGGTTCAAGTGCTATCACACGTGGTGAACACGAGACAGGGCAAAAAAACTAGGAGAAAGTGTAGAGACATACGCGAAGGACTGATAGCCAAAACATTTGTATTGGTCGGTAAGGTGTCGGCTGTAGAATGAATTTGTAAGAGTTCATTTCCACCGGGGGAATTGAAGATATCTGTTGGTAGGTGAGGGAGATGATTTGGAAGAACTCGATCATCGCTCAGGGAGACCTGTCCAGTAGGCGATGTGGTGGCAAGTGGAGGCAGTGAAAGCTGTTTTGTCAGTGGGGAGAGAAGTTGCCGCTGTGTGACCACTCCCAGGGGAAGAACGGCAACTGCGCCAGGGATGCGAGGATGTTGTCCATGATGAGTAGTGGGTACGTGACAGGGGGCTGAAAGGAGGGGTGATGGTTGCACGTCAGTCGGTCGTATGTACCACTAGTTGGCTAGCTACAAGGTTGAGGTCAGAGTCTCAAGGAACATGGTTTTCTTATTCAGTCGAATAACACAACGAGACCATACGTAGCCAATTCGATCCGCAGATCATTACTGTGAGAGGCTCAAATTGTCTCGCCAGTGTCACACGCCAATTCACCCACGGTGAGCCCGATAAATTTGCATCGATTTTTATTTTTCGAATGCCATAAGTGTTTTGCTGACTTTTAATGATGAATTATTGATGGAACAGTTATCTTCGGACTCAAAAGGATTTTAGGAAGTAGTGGATGACTCGGTACTCTGAACAGACAGATCGAACAGCCTACCAAGACTAAGCACGTCCAGTGACCGTGGAAGGTTCAGAAAAGTGAACTACAAATTTATAGAAAAATCATGGTGTGTTCGAAGAACGCTTCATAGCTTTCTTCGAAAGGATCGCCATCATTGAGGATCACCACGATCTATTCACAAGTAAAACCAATCTGCCGAACCGTGCAAACTGATTTCGACCTCTTCAAAAGAACATTTGATGTCCGCTGTATAGGCCATCCCTGAAGAACATTTGGATAGTACTCGTAAATCACCTTTCAGTGGCGGAGTCCCACCAAGAAAGGCTAATGATCAGAAGAGACCAATTTTAATTGGCACCTTCAGAGAAGAAGACAACTGTACCTTGTTAGGAATGAAGCCAGACATTCTGATGAGAAAAGGCTACAAGAGGTCACGCTCAGATTCGAAATAAAGATATAAAAAATATGAGTCACATGCAGGTCATAAATTTCCCACGTGCATTCTGTACACTGAACAATCTCTTGACTCCAGTATGTTTAAGTCTGTCTGTCAGCGGAAGTGATGCTAATTTGAAAAAAGGTATAGTGATACAGAGTGAAACGCCTTCCCAGTGAACTCCAAAAAGGGCGAAACCGGTAGCGGGATGCCGAAAGTTTCAGCGACCTTATAGTTAGTGTGATCATAGATAAAGCCTTCATCTTTGCCTGTTTCCTACGAAGACTTGGGTGATGGTGGTCATCTACTACGGATGCATGAAACAAATCCATGAAATTTCACAGTAGTACAATAAACATGGTTTCACTAGCACCACCACGAGTGAAGGCATAAAGTCACGTTCCGAAAAAACAGAACCGTCAAGGTTCTCCAGTATAACGACGATAAGGTGCTGGGCAGCTAAGAAGCGCAGGATTTCAGAGTAACAAGCTTACCAGACTTCCCGTTGGGAATACTGCCAACATCATCGGTCTTTGACGATTCTGCAGAGGTCGATAGGGACTCTGAAGTTCAACAGAAAGAAAAGTCAAGGACAATGATTCACCCTAATTTTTTCCTCTGGCAATAAAACATTATTTCTGTATCCAAAATCCACAACAACAGTAAGAATAGTCATGTGAATCGGATAAATTAGAATGATTTGGTCAACAGTAGGATAGACAAGAAACTAAACAAGAAGCCCTAAGACTCTCAGTATTAAGCCAAATTCTTGAGCCATATTAGAATACACGAAACAGTGTTAGAATGGGGGTACCAGAGAGATAGTCACTTTGCAGTATGAGTTGGCATAGCTGGTTGGAAATCACATTTTCGCGAGGAAGCGAAGGAGTCGCTATGAAGCTCGACGAGGGAGCGGCCATACTCCTGCCAGATATAGTGAAGCGAAATTATGTAGAGCCCAATTAGGAAGACGTGGTGGTCCCACGGTCACGTTCACCACAAATATCACGCCAAAAGCCATTAAGGGTGGGTGTTTGGAGGACGATGAACGCGAATGCACAATACGAATTCCAGCCATATACGATGACTCCCATTCCTCACCAGAAAAACATTGACCCATTCTTCAGTATGTCGACACAGGCATGCTTGTTAGGAATTCGCTGTTGCCGGGTAATGTCATTGATGCTCCTCACGTGTATTGCCAGTCAAACGATTGCTCGAGTTTGAGATTTTCGGAGAGACCATATGACCAAAATTGAAGAAAGTCCCGTATGAAAGGACCCCAGAAAGGAACAAAGTTGGCACCACAGTGGATGGCATCGGCCACCCATAAATTTAGTTGCAGTCGCGGACTCAACACAATGTGACGCTTGTTCATAACAGGAAGCACATAAGCATGATCATTAGAGAACCCGCACTGAATAGGTCTCACAACGCAGCTTATGTGCATCGGACAGCAGGCGCATCACCAGTAGACGGTAATGTTCGAAGTTTCAAGTCACGTGCACACTGAGGACCACGTGCTGCTTAGGACTCATAGACATTATTTGATTCTAAACGGAATTTATAAACTATAGAGGAAAATGTTGGTAGCTCTGGTAGCTTAGATCGTCTTTGGTTTGTTTGCAATCAACTTGTCCAGCTCAGCAAACAAACCAACAACCAAAGTTTTGTAAGCGTCTAGCACAGAATCGCGGTCTTTGAAGTAGAAGCATCTGTGGACTCTGCAAATGGTTCTGCAGTTGCTATTTCAAATGAGCGGGGAGTCCAGCATTGCGGACTACTGGACTTAGTTTTGCTCTTCGTGTATTGGCTGTTGTATCGACTGTTGCTTCACAAAAGCTGGGCATGCAAAAAATAGGGGGGTTGATACATGACAGTCCGTGAGATTTCGCTTTCCCGCGCACAAAGAGCAATAGGAAGATTCTAACCAACATAAGCAGCGTCCTCGTTGACAGTTTCTGGCCGGATTGTCATGTCGAATTTTCAGAGGTGATCCTCCCCTGTGCATGGCTGGAGACGCTGCAAGATGTGGTTACCGATCGATTTCTTGTCAGTCTCTAACCAGAAGTATGAAAGTGTAGATACCTCAGAATGGTTGAGGTAGGCTAGCACTTTTGTCCTTTTCTTCATAAAAGAGGTTTCAAATAAACTATGGCTGACCGGCGGCGGATTATCAGTACTGAACACTGATGTTGTGCTGTCAACGGTGATGAAATGCCTAAAAGTCACAGCTGACACAATCGACTCTATAAATTTTCGTTTACCTATGAATGGCTCTAACGCGCCAGGGTCACGCATCGCATGGCTACGTACAACCATGTATGAGGTCGCCCATTAGTCTTGTCATGCGTTTCTCCCTAGTGATCGAAAAAAACTATCGAACGCCAAGCCTGTAAGTGGATGGGGCTGAAAAAATAATCATGATGGAAAGCCAACCATCTCGCATGCCTGAAAAACAGCAAAACAAGAGGAAGCGCATGTGTTTGTGCGATTAAAGTGAAATAAACACGAAAACTAGAACAAACAGCATGCAGACGGCAAGTGTCAAGCGATCGATATTCAGCGCAGTTCAGTTTCACAACCCTGAGCGGCGTACCTATGCGCAGTGGTTTGGGTAGCTTCGGCTCGCGGTAACGGAGTGTGGAGAGCGGAAAACAGTACGTATATGATTGATGATAGGAGAACAGATACAATAGCGTCATTCATTGCGTGGCAAGAGGGTCTGTGATACCCCAAACATTGGGATCGAGATGGATCAGTGCAGTCGAGATTCGCTTTTATCTTCCACTCCCCCTCTCTAGGTCATCAATTGCTCATCGCGCGGCATCTTTCAATCGGAGCCCCATTCAGCAAAGGGAGTATGGTGAGGCAGTCAGTCACCTCGCATATGAACCGCGCGACAGACTCAGCGTAGTTCGTGTGGCCGATTCGACTCACCAAACGGGCAAGCAGCTATTTGATGCCAAAAACCATTCGCCACACTTCGATGCAGCTAATTCGCGTTCCGATGGTACATATGGAATGCTTCGGAGGCACCGGTGGTAAAACGAGCAATCTTCAGTGTGCAGTGGTCAGGCTTCACAACGGTAAACGAACAATAGATACACATCGTTGTGTAGGCTACCTTCTACAAACAAGGTGATGTCACAACAACGTCAGAGGTTCCTAAGCTGAAGGACAATATAATGATTCTGGAGTTCACTTTTTTGGCAGTGTTGCCATTCGGTAGGACGAAACTAACTAGGTAGCTAAATCTGTCCACTATATCCAATGATTCAGATGTCACCACCACACTTGGAGGTATACCCTCGCAGTATTCCAATAACTATGATTTGATGGCTCAAGACGCGTACGTAACCTATGGCAACATCACTTAGATCATTTGTCGTATCTTGAGGCCGGATGTAATCTGAATAGGAGAGCACGATTTCTTGGTAAGGAACAGTCCTGATGAATACCGCCTGTGGTGATACACTAGGAAGAATACCTTCCAAAGACTGTCATGCGACCGCACGTGTTGGGGTCGAGGATTGGATAAGAATGAAAATGTTCCGAGCACTGCCACAAGGTAGCACCATCGTTTGAGTTGGAAGTCCAAGAAGATGACAAGTATTAACGGCCTTCGAGTTGTCGCAAGGTAAAGGTCGCACAACAGATCTCCACCCGGGAAGGAACTCTGCTTGATTTTCACGACAATCACAAGTGATGCTAAGGCTGAGCTAGATTGCACATGGGACTAGACTGACACCCTGATGATCCTAACATTCGGGGACAACTTTTTTCACAGGTCAACACACTATCAGGAAGGGTGAGTTGCCATAAACGGTCAACGAACATTTGACATTACTAACGCCGGACCAGCTCATGGGTAGTAGCCTATGAAAATGGAGGATGCCCTTGGCAGTCTAAAAAATCGTCCAACTGTAGCACCCGTTCGGTGCCTAGCTGCCATGCCACACGAATGAGGTACGAGGGCTGGGATACTGCCAGATCGCCGAAACCTATACAGGGGAAGTCGAGAGGCAGAGGTCGGGTTCGAACCACGGACTTTCCGGTCAGTAAATTCGCGCTCTAACCACTTGGTCCATCTCGGCATCACGTTCAATGCCAATTTTTCTGTGACACTCACAGAGACACTAATGTGTACAACTTCAAGTCACGAGCCGTACAGTGGTGACGAAATTTCAGAGATTAGAAAGGTCAACATAACAATAGCTAGAAAGTATTAGTTCTAAGTTTTCTTTAGGAAGAGGGTCGACACGATATGAAAT